GATAAAGGTGACAAACGAGCACACAGTCCATCTGATGGTAAGTGGTTGCTGTGGCCCATAAACATCTATATCTATTAAATGAAATGTACAGATTTTAACGCGTTAAATTAAATCCGTAAAAATTAGTTTCATTTAATGTGTAATCTTCGCGTATCTAAATATAAGAAATCATTATCTACATCTATCTTCGATTACGAATCAAAATGCAGATTGGTTTTCACCTGTGAGGACTAAAATTGAATGCCTCGTTTTCAGTAAAAAGTGTCTCCAGTTCTCTACACTCACCATACGAAACACAGCAGCGCTAAGCTGCTATTTTACGCTGGTATTCTTTGAAAGATTCTAGAGTGGCGGCCTCGTACCGGCGGATGAAGTGTAGGGCGTCCCCCCACTAGATGGAGTGACGACCTACTAAGACATGCAGGAAGTCGATGGATGCAGGTGGCTCAGGACCGTGCTTTGTGGCATTCCTTGGTGGAGGCCTATGTTCAGCAGTGGACTTGTGAAGGGCTGTAATGATGATGATGATGATTCTGTGAGAACATGGTTCTTCCCCGGTCGAGACGACCCGTTCGTGCAACAACAATACTAGATACTAACAGCTGTAGCATGGCTCTACCACTTTAAGAATCAAAACGTGTTGAATCAGGATTTAAAATGCAACATTTAAATTTGTGCTGACGGGGAATTGAACTAACTAACTAGTATAAAGTTTTTATTTTTATTAAATGTCTTTTTGACGATTAGGAAAAAAAATTCGTATGAAATGTTCTAATTATTTAGAAACATCAACCAATCACTAATAGCTTTAGCACTAATAAATAGCTTTCTGTTTGTATCTTAGTGTTGCCACTACGCGTGTTTTACTTGAGTCCAACAATAAGTTACGTATGAATCTCGACAAGTAGTTCTGTTCTATGCGAAGGAAAAAATGCTCCTCTGTATAACAACGAAATCGAGTGCAGCTTAACTGTGATTAAGGTAAACACCGGGCACGCGTGTTTGTTATTGATTCGACTGAATTATGGAGGCCGAGCGGAACCTTGGTAACCATTACCACTCCAAACGCACAGAACGAATATTACGTAGTTCCGCAACAGTATCATGTTTTAATATTACCTAATTTAAACGACGTGTAATTTAATAAACTATTTCACAATTAGAGGTCAATTAATAAACAATATAGTATTCTCTATATTGTTTATTAATTGTGAAACCATTTGTATAGACACAATTAAACCCAAGAAATTAAAACGTGACAGAAAATTCTCACACTATGTCTAAAAAAAAAACTAGTAAAATAACTAACAAGTTCAAAGGCATCGAACTCGAATGGAGTCATCATTTATTTTCAATATGGTAGATAATGTAACATAACAAGCTAAATATATAGGTCACGGTTTAACGGGCTCGACGGACCTTGTAAACTTTGGCTGCGAAAATTGAAATAACGACAACTCTTCTGGGCTACACGCTCTTGTAACTATTGGTAGACGGTGCTTTATAGATACAGTTTATACGTAGTGGACAAAGCTAGGTAATACAAGTTTATTCGCATAACACAATTTGTCTTTGTCAGCCCATAAAAGGCCATTGCTAGATATGGACCTCTACCGTTTTAGGGCGGTTTAGTCTTATTCGTGAAGCTTGGCAGGCGGATTGACATTGAAGTGACAGAATGTCTGACAGACGGTTCGTGACGGGCAACAGTGGCAAAGGTGCTTAACACAATTCAATTATAAGCAACTTGCAACAAAGGGTTATGGCCAATACTATAGAAACTACTATAGACCAATACTATAGAAAAAGCTTGGTATGTAATATGTATCTACATATAAAATTTAATGATTAAAATTTCATATTATCTATTCAAATATCTATTATAATTTTATATACTCTAAATCTTCGACTATTTATTATATAGTAGAGTTAAAATTATGTAATCGTAAAATTCCGTATAGATGATGTGTACCTACAAATTGGAACCTACTGTTTCTTAGAAGCAGGCGAAGAAACAACTAAACAAAAACCGCGCAGTAATGTAATAAATGTCCGAGTCCGATCATAAGGCGACAAACAAACGGTCGCTAAAGAGCGGGCACGACGGCGGCCGGAGCAAGGGTCACGTTGTGGGCACACAGCGATGTTTACAGTAACTACGCGCAAACAATAGCCCAATTACTAATAGTGTGCAAACAGCGCGCACCGCAGCAGGATAATTGATCGAGTAAACAGCGCCATTAGCGGCGAGCGACCGAAATAGCCGACAGGATAACGCCACGTCTCGTCCGTACACATGGACTTCATTATTTACTATTTCATCTGGTGTACATCACATCGCACGCATAGATATACTCGCATCTCATTATACATATTACTGGATTTAATATATTATAGGCAGCTCCATAAGGACAGGTTTTGCTGTAATTACCGCATTGCGCTTCAGGGTTAGTGATTGCAGCGCTACATACATAGTTTTACTTGGTTCTATAGATTTATATTATTTTTGTCAGTTGCTTGCTAAAATATGACGTTAAAGGTTATTTGTCTGGTCTTGCATCAACAAGGACAAAGTACAGATTTTGGTAGCGAGTGAAGGTTATGAATACCTACATGAATATTGTTCATGTTACGTTATTTGCTTATAGTTTTGCTTAAAATACCACCGACTGGGTAAATTGCAATATAATTGAAAACTTATTTGGAAAAGAGGCGTGTTTTATAGAGAATCACAATTATAAAAATAACAATAAGAAAAACATAAAAATTGTGGTGTCGCACAAAGCAGATATTACTAAGAGAAACAATGAACATTTTATTTTTAAAATTCTATCATCTTCAATACTTCGGTATTGTGCAGTTGTGTAGCACAGTTAGATAGAACTACACGAAATTTGAAAGCAGCTTTAAATAGATATTTTGCTCCTGTCATATCATCAGGTACATTTGACAAAGTCGTTTGCATAGACTAAACATTAAAATCTGAATTAAATATTAGTTTTAAATTGTAATTGGACGCAATAATTGAAGTAAATAAATGTTTAAAGATTCTGTCATTAAGACAAAATAGAAGAGAGCAAATTACCAAATGAGGACATAGCTATTAGCTGCCTAACCCACTTAACCTAACCTATTAGGATTTGATTCTAACATATTAGGATTTTAAGTGTATAAAATTGAAATAGAAATTCACATTTTTGTAAAACCACATTTCAGTTATTTCGGAAAATTGTATAAAATATGGGCCAATTATTATAAATGTATTATAATAGTATAATACATTTATAATAATTGGCAATTATAATAGATGTTAGTTACTCTTCTACACAAAAACTACTGAATGGATTTTAATGAAACTTTACACTAACTTAGCTCATACATCAGAATAACACATAAGCTATAATTCATAAAAATATTGTGTAAATTGACCAAAATATAACGGTAAATGTTAAGTAAGTCTGAAAAGAATCTGTCATCTGCGAGTTATTTTAGCGTGAACACGCATCACGCAAAAACCTGTGAATCGATTTGGATGGGACTTTCACTGGCAGATAGCCGTCATGGAGAACAGCTAGTAAGGTTACAAAGTTTGTAGACTTAGTAAGCAAGCATTAAGCGCCATGTCAAGAAACTGAAGAAAACGTTTAATTCTGTTGTCCTTTTAAGTTTGATCATTTCTAATCATTGATGTATATAAGCCTATCTAATACCATTTACTTAAAATAATAATAATAAATGTGAGTTTAAATGTAAAGGGCGAGTGTTTTTTATAATTATTTGCAATCGAATAAATTTAAGAGTGTCCGTGAAAGTATACGCGTACTATGAGCTGGCTGTAAGTCTAAACTGAATGAACGTAATCAGCAGCTGATAGCGCGAGATTGTTGTTATCATACTATGTTGTGGTCGAGACGCTTATCTGAAAGGCTTCGTACGCACTACACAGATGGATTGCAGTTACGTTTCCTAGTGAAAGTTACGTCCAATGAGCTACTTTACGCGCAAGATTAGGGGCATAAAGGAGTTATTTATTTTGCATATTAGTGTTACCTGTTATACCCTTTTCTTTGTTATGAATTTAATGCTGGAGATACGTTTCTCTCATTGCGGTATGCTTGTAGAAAAGTGGAATAGACGGATTTCATGTATTTATTGTTCGTTCCATAAATTTTATGATTCTTAGGAATACTGCTGTTCACCGTAGTTTATAAATAACGAATATTTAGATTTAATTACCGTCTTGTGTTTGGTATTTTTTTTTATAAAATAAGGATGAAGACGAGCACCCAGTCCACCTGATGGTAAGTGGATGCTATGGCCTATATCTAATTGCGGATGCATTGTCACTTCTGAGGATAACGCATCTGCATTTGCTTCGTTACACTCACCATATCAAACACAGCAGCATTAAGCAGCTAGTTTTAGTTTCTTTTTTCGTTCGAACAAATCTCAGCCGCTTAATTTCACTATCGCACATCGCGATAAAATTATTACGAGTAGATACTATCCATACTATCTGGATGTTTGGCGGTCTACCACTGTGCATTTTACAAGAAGTTTTCTTACTCGCACAATTTTCTTGTGGAATCGACTACCACCAGAGATATTTCCGGACCGATCCGACATAGGGGCCTTTAAGAAAAGAGTTTACTCTTTTTCATAAGGCCGGCAACGCATCTGCAATTCACCTGGTGTTGCAGTTGTTCATGGGCGGCGGTAGTTATCATCAGGTGAGCCGCATGCTCGTTTGCCCCCTATCCTATAAAAAAATACGCTGGTATTCTGTGAGAGCGTTCCTCGGTCAAGCCGATCCATTCGTGCTCCAACTATAATATACCTAGCTGCAGCATGGCTCTATCATGTAACAAATTCGTTGTATTGCTCGTTCCCTAAATAAATAATTCTTTGGAATACTGTTGTCTCCGTGGTTTACAAGCATCAAATGAATATATCGATTTACTTTCAGTGTTGTGTTAGTAACAGTGTGGTGGTGCACTCACCCGTCGGTGTGGTGGTGTTCGTGCGCGTAGGCGGGCGGCGCGGGCGGCGCGTACTGGTCGTAGTGCAGGCGCGGGCTGCGCTCGGGGCTGCGGCTCTTGAACAGCGGCTCGTCCAGCGCGTAGGCCTGCATGTCGCGCGCGTGTGCCGGCCGCAGCTCCTGGTAGCTGGCGCCCGGGGGCGGGCTCTCCGCCGCGCCGCTCTCCGCCTCGCCCTCTGCGCCACCACGACTCGCTCATTGGCTGCGCGCCGCCCCCCGGCACACGGCACACTGCCGCGGGGAGGCACGCGCCACGCGCCTCTCGGCACGCGATTATCCACACTAATATCGATATTGTATCGATACATAGCAAAGCTGATACGACATTACAATATTGTGAATGTATCGTTGAACTAAAGTGTACTACGTACGTACAGACACCGCGAGCAAAATTCGCTGCGGGTACGTAACCGCGTAGCCATCATATCGATACAAATATTGATACACTTGCAAAGCTGATAAAATATTACACGATATATCATTAAACTAATATATACTCCGTAAGTACAGACACCGCGAACAAAATCGAAAGTATGATGCGCGTGGTAGGACGCGCAGAGTACCTTTTATGCTACAGGCTATTGCAAACAACCAAGTCTAGACGTCTCTTCTAGTACGTAGTACATATTACTTGAATGAGTTGCGTCGACCAAATCAATCAGAGTGGACCAAAGAAATATTTATCATATCACAGACTTTACTTAAGTTTTTGTAAAATATCACTTTATATAATAAGCATTAAAGATGTAAACTGTCTGAATGAAGAATGAAACCTTACAATATCAGAAGATATATGGATGATTGGCTAACTATCGATATATTTATCGACATCAAAAACTCGCATCCCTAGCCACGGACCTCGGACTGACCTTTCAGGCAGTTGTTGTTGTTGTTCACTTCGGCGATGAGCGCGTCCAGCTCGATGGTTTCGGCGCGGTGCCAGGGGACGGACCACGCGTCGTGCAGCATGCTCACTGGTTCACTACGTACCGCGAGACGGGCTGCGGCGTGCTCCTCGCGCGACGGTCGTGCGGATACTGGCGGCTGCGCTGGCGGAGCGCGACCGCTGCGCACGCGCAGCCCGGCCGGAGGGGGGCTGCGCGGGGACGCCGGGGAGGGGGGCGGGGCACATCGCATCCGATCCACTTTTATTCAAGAAGCAACCAATGGGGTCCCGGCCGATGGACGGCGGGACGCGAACGCATTATTCCATTTATACATACGCTTTTTATTGTTCCACATTGTCTTTTAATACATTATAGCATGTAGTAGTTAAAAAAAGAACGTGATGGGATCGAACATATCGATGCAAATAACTTATGGTAAACATTTTCTAGCTTTATATAAAGCAAAACAACCAACATGATGTACTGTCTAGTGATAAACTCCGATGGCAACTGACGTTTTGCTCATTAGTACAGGAGATATCTGGGCTGCGCTATCAGGGCTTGCAGTTGCTATCGCGTCGATCGCTACGTTTCCATAATAGGTGTAGATAAGCGAGCCGCGACCTACCGCTACTCTTCGACACACGCCCGTGCACACCCGTATTAAATATATCTACCCTGATTGACTAATCTACCGCGGCAACCTGCACCAGTATCAATTACTTTATCGAATTCTAAAATAAACACGACTTCGAATTGGTTTCCTGTGCCAGCATAATCTGCAGAACGTTGCTCTCTTGCGACGTTATGTGACATGTAGATACACCAGGTGTTCGATTATACACAGAAACGATCTTCGTCAGTATTTTTTATTCTCTTGTTGTGGTTGTGATAACTCTTCTCCTAAAACGCAACAACTGGCTGACGTAACTTGACAGAGCTTGGCACTCGATTTAGTTTTAAATTGCTACGCAAAATTAGTGGAATATCATTTAATAACGTTTAAAATATTTAGGGAAACAGCAAAGCCTAATTGCAAAGCATAATAATATCTATTATATTGACCTTCTAGCGACCCCCCCCCCCCCCCCCCCTCCAGCTTTGCAATATAGATACATTTAAGACAATCATCTAAGACAATTTATTTTATAATAAATTTTTATAATTAGATAATAATATAATTTTTGATTCCTAAAAATATAGTTTTCGGATAAAATATAGTCTAGATCACTTCTGGCATTACTCTGTATTCTGTTCGTAAAGATGCATTACAATCAGTTCAACTATTCCGAAGATTACGACAGACAGATAAAAATGGTTATTTATAAAATCTTCATCATCATCATCATCATCATTACAGCCTTTCACAAGTCCACTACTGAACATAGGCCTCCCCCAAGGAATGCCACAAAACACGGTCCTGAGCCACCTGTATCCATTGACTTCCTGCATGTCATACCAAGTAGTCACTCCATCTAGTGAGGGGACGCCCTACACTTAGTCCACCGGTACGAGGCTACCACTGGAGAACCTTTTTCCCATCGGTTGTCGGTTCTTCGAGCTATAAGGCCGGCCCATTGCCACTTCAGCTTAATAATATGTTGGGCTATGTCGCTGGTTCTACTGCGGATATCCTCATTTCTAAGTTAATAGCTCGCTGAGCGACCTTAAGCTTCCTCATCCGACCAGCAGTGAATGACCACGTCTCAGTTCCATAGGTCATCACTGGCAACACGCACTGGTGTACAGTCTCGTTTTCACGTTTTGAGGTACGTCTAACGAGAAGATGTACCGTAATTTCCCGAACGCTGCCCAGCCAAGTTGCATCTGTCGATTGACCTCTCGATCGAAGTTGGACTTACCTAGTCGGACTTTTTGTCCCAGGTAAACATAATCGTCAACAACTTCGAGCTTAGTGCTCCAAACAACTACCGGCATAGGTGTAACATAGACGTTATACATGATCTTTGTTTTGTCCATGTTCATCTTAAGACCTATCCGTTGGGAGGCACTATTGAGGTCATTGAGCATAGTGCTTAGGTCCTCCAGCGATTCTGCCATAAGAACTATATCGTCGGCAAATCGAAGGTGAGTGATGTACTCGCCGTTGATGTTAACTACCGTATCCTTTCCAGTGTAGAAGCTTGAAACTTCTTCCAATGCAGCGATTAAGAGTTTCGGGGATATAATAATCCCCTTAGCTTAATAAAAAGCATATATATCGATATTATAGTCGGGCACTTCCATACTTTTATTTATATGTAGGTAATAGATTTAAAAGGAGTTTATTTCCCTAATTAAAACATTCCACTCCACGCCTCCATGAAGGACGGAATTAAAGAGCTTCTAAAGGACTTTAAGTACCAGTTTTCCACCCACTTCCTGAAGCTCCGCTATAATTCCATCCTCGCTAGGGGACTTGCCGTTTTGAAGGTGCTGGAGAGCCATTCTAATCTCGTTCAGACTGACGTCCGGGATATCATCGGAATAGTGTAGGATAAGACTTGCTCTTGGATCGTTACTCACACTTGCGTGTGGCTCCAACGATGACTTGTACAGCTGCCCATAGAACCTTTCAGTCTCACTCAAAATCTAAGGTGTCTCAGAAACGGCTGCCACATTCGGTCTTCAGCTTCGACAGTTGGCACTTTCTGGCAGATAGATCTCTGGCAAAAACTTTGGAGCCCTGGTTCCGCTCGATCGCTTCTTCAATATGAGCAGTATTAAAGTTGTGTAAGTCCCGCCGCATGCATTTGAAGACATGTCTGTTCAGTTGCCTGTATGCTGTCAAATCTACTGAAGGCTGCAGCTTCATATCCCGTCTAACAGCCATGAGATTATGATTGTGATCGGAGAGTTTTTGTGTTCTTCTGCGGCGGGTCTTGCAAAACTTAGCTCCGACCGCATGGAGAGTTTCCACGAGCTTGTCATTCATATCATCCACTGCATTGCAATCTTCTAGGCACTGAAAACGATTTTGTAACTCGAGCTGAAAGGTTTTGAAACTCTGGACTAGAGTACGAGGGGGACGGAGCGTTGACTTCATTAGACGAGACCTCTCCAACTTAACGTTTAAGTTCAGTGTGCCTCTAACAATTCAGTGACCGCTACCAGTTTTCACCCTCGCGATCACTGAGACTTCACTGAACAGTTGTCGTCTGGTCGTCATAATGAATTCTGTCTCATTTTTTGTCGAACCTTCGGGGCTCGACCAGGTCCACTTCCTGAGGGGCCGCTTCTGGAAGAAAGAGTTCATCATAAAGAGTCCCTCTTTTTCCATGATGTCGGCCAGTTGCTGGCCCCTTGGGTTCCGTTGCCCTATTCCAAATTTCCCTACTTTCAGCTCACCGTTCTCTCTTGTGCCTAGTTTTGCATTAAAGTCTTCCTTTACCACCGTATAGTGGGTTTTGGTGGAATGCATGTCTCTAGAGATATCCTCATACATTTCCTCTACCTCCTCATCAGGAGGTGCCGAGATTGGTGCGTAAGCTTTTATGACCTTCAGCGAATACCGTCTGGTGATTCTGAGTTTAAGGTACGCAACCCTCGTCGACACACTCCCAATCTTTACAACGTTGTTATCGAGATACTTGTGGACGATAAATCTGACACATCCTTGGGACAGATGGTCGCCCTTCCGGTGATAGAACAAGTTGCCGGATTCGAGGATTATCGTGTCCTCCCCCTCTCTTCGAACTTCGGATAATCCTATAATATTCCAGCGCAACTTGTCTATCAGTTCTTTCAGGTCCAGGATCTTCTCGTCAGTCCTTAAGGTTAGTGCGTTATAAGTTGCCAGGTCGAGTCGTCTTAGGTGGCAACTGAACCTCCACCGGAGATTCTTAGACCCCCTGCCCTGCCGTTACCATGGTCGCCACCGTAGCCAGGAATAGCGTTACTATTGATTGAAGGCCGTTTATTATTGTCATTGCTCATGGGGGGTATATTACCATAGTTGCCACGCTTGGCGAGCGGGTTGGCAACCGCAATTTTTATTACTTTTGCTGTTATCAGAAAGATGCTGCTGCCCATCTTCTATCTCAGTTTCCCTCTGTCGCCTTTTACGACACCCACGGGAAGATATGGGGTAGTGGATATTCTTACACAGTCGTTCCCGGCATTACATTCGGTTTGATAGACCACCAATCCACGCAAAAGAACACCGATTCATACCAAGGATGATTCGCGAGGCTATTGAGAATAAAAAAATATTTAAACACCAACTAAATAATATCTATCATTCTTGTCAATAAGTTGCTCAAAAGTGACTGAATATGAAAGTGAAACAATTTAACTTATTTATACATTTGTAATTTTTATTTTACTATTGTAGATATACAACTGGAAAAGCATTCATGAAATAATAATATTCAGTATATCTGTCTATTATATTCAATTAAATATAAAAAGGATTTGTACTTAAATTAATCTTGATTTTGCCGTCGGTAAGAATTTAAATCTTACAAGATAATTTTCCAATGTATAGTTGTTTGATATTCTCATCTGAATATGTAAGAATAAAGCTCCTAGTTTATTAACGGAAAAGAGGATTTGTTGGAGACAAAAAAACAACAGAATAGAGTATAATTTAAGACGTCTTAAACGATAGAATGAGGTTTAAGTTGTGAAAAAATGACCTCTTACACCGACCTTACAGCCGATAGAGTGGAATTGGGAAAGCTTAGGACCACCATAAATTAGTGGAGCGATCATCCGTGCATGTCATCGGGGTTGTAAATTTAACAAGTTTTCCCTGAAGCGTGCATAAAGATGTCGCGAGCACATGCGGCCACAAATCAAGCGACCTCGCCCGCTCCCGGGAACCTATAAATTTTATCGCATTAGCGGAGAAGCGACGCCCCGCGGCGTTTTGTTTTGCCAACATGTTGCAGCCCGCCGCATCTCGTCGCTATTCACGAGATAATACGCGTCAAAAGCGACCAGCGCTGGACCCGTGGCGTCACCAGACGGACGAGGGTCGCTTTTGTCGTCGCCATACAGTCTCGCTAAGCCTCTCTCCAGATCGGTCCTCGGATCTGCATCCACAACATGTGTTTGTTAATCCGTTTGTGTGTTTGGATT